AAACACACACACACACACACACACACACACACACACACACATGTATATGGCGAGTGGGGAACCCATGTGAGTTTTGACTATGTGAATACATTATCTATTTTTCAACTCTACAAAAACACACAATGAAACCCCAACCCTACTCCTAGTCAGAGGTCTATATATATATACAGCTGAATTTACTCAGTATGTATGTCGAAAACCAGGTACTGCCTGCAGAGGGGTCTCTTGGACCTCCTTAACTGCTCCACTCGTGTGTCTCCAAACACACACTGGTCATTCCAGGCAAACTCCAACTCTGCTCTTCAAAACCATCTTGTTCTTCCAGGTCTTTTGCATTCCAATGTAAACATTAAAGCCAGCTTATTGGCTATGATGTAATTATTCCAGGTGGGGCCCAGGCCCCATGTCTTTAGCAGCTCTCTAAGTAGTTCCTCTGGGCAGCTGGGGTTGAAAAGCACCAAGTAATGAACATCACCTAAAATTGTAGCAAACCTTGCTGGTCCTGCACACCCTGACTCTGACCACTGCTCTCCACAGGCATAGCCACCTCCCACAGGCTCTGCATCACCTCCCAGCCCACTGGGCTCCACTGCCCCTCCCACTCGGCCCCTCACTGGCTCTGCAGCCTCCATGGGAGCCTCCTTCCTATTTACTTTCACTCAACCCCTCAATAAGAAGAATTGGCTCGTGCTGACTCCTCTATCTCCCCCACTAGAATCCAAACTCTGCAGGAGCAATGATAGTTTTATGCGTGTGTGCACCTCAGACAGTACCCAGCACCGGGGTTCTTGAGGATATTCACTATGGGAACAAACGGATCAAGGAAGGATCCAGACCAGAGGACACCCACAAGTGAAAGTACAAGTCTTATGGAGTACTTATGAAGTATGATCTTATGGAGTGTGATCCTACCTATGTTAAATGAAAGAAGATGAACGCATACAAAAAGACATGAATGAGAAAATGCTCAGGAATACACAGGAAAATACTCAGGTTTCCTGTGTCACCTACACCTCCAATTATATGATTTCAAAAGGAAGCTGGGCTGAGTTGTCAGAACTGAGGGCTGGCACTGGCCTGGAGACTCCAGTCTAGGTTCTCCTACCCCTGCTAACCTGCCCACTCCTAGGATGCTCAGAATGACTGGTGCATAGCCATGGGCTGTTCATTACTGCTTCTGACCAAGGCAACCGTGGTCCTCCCACCCACACCTGATGCTCTGAGGGCCTGAAATGCAAAGGTCTGGCTGCCCTTCAACATCAGGAGTCATCAGCTACACCGGCTGAGTCCTCACCTTGGCATCCAACAAGTAATTGTATGGCATAAAGATAATGTCGGCTTGCTGCTTCAGGTTCCGAGAAAGGTAGTAAGGGCACACTCTGGAAGCAAGGGGAGAGAAGACCCTGTTAACACCCACCCAGAGATACACAGAAGGCACAGCCATGACATGAGCCACATCCTCTGATAGAGGAGGAGCCCTGGCCCCATACACAGGGCTTCAGAGGGATCCTGGTATATGGGGCAAGTGGGGAACCAGGTACCAGGGATCGAACTCAAGATCCTTGAGCTTGTGAGGCAGGCAGCAGCACCACTGAGCTAAACCCCCAGCCCTCCATGTTGAGTTTTTGACTATGTGACTATATTATCTATTTTTCAACTCTACAAAAACAACAGAACAAAACCCCAACCCTACTCCTAGTCAGAGGTCATCAGAAACACAAAGCACACTGAAGTACTTTTAAAATAGAACTTTTTTTCCCCATTGATATAAGCCAGGCTGGCTAACTTCTTTCCTTCCTTCCCTCCCTCCCTTCCTTTCTTTTGCAAGGCTGAGGACTGGAATCTAGGGCCTTATGCACACTGGGCAAAAACTTCACTGCTGAGCTACACCCCAGCCCTAAAAGTCTTTACTGTGACTTGAATCCGCAAAGCTACAGACAGGCAGAGTTACTGTCCTCAGAAGGAACGGGGCCAAGCTTCAATCACCAACAGGGAAAGGCACCCATGGCATATAACCGAAGAGGAAACTAGAACTGGGTGTGATCACACCAGTAATCCCAGTACTTGGTAGGCTGAAGCAGGAGGACTGCCACAAGTTCCAGGCCAGCCCAGGCTACACAGTGAGTTCAAGACCAGCCTGGATGGGTAACATACTTTCTGGTCCCCCTTCTGTCTCTATTAGACAGAAGCTGTCTTTCTCTCAATACATTTTTCTACCAAAAAAATAAAAAAATAAAAAAAAGACCAGCCTGGACTACACAGCAAGACCCTGTTTTTAAAAAAAAAAGAAAAGAGGGCCAGGGATTTAGCTCAGTGGTTCCATTGCCTGCTTTGAAAGCACAAACACACACAGAGATGCTGAGAGCCAGAGGAAGGAAGCAGTTTCATTTTTTCACTTTATATTCCTCAGAACTACTTAAATTACTAATTGTTAGTTTTGAGGAAAGACACAGTAGCCACAGCAGTGGGAGCGATCTCACTTGTGCTTGCTCCCATTCTTGACCAGGTCCTCAATGTCCAGGATGGGGGTGACCAGCTCCTGCTCCAGGCTTTTCTCTGCAGATGACAAAGGGTAAACACACACACTTAGGGTCCAACTTAGTGTCCCCTGATGCCCAGGACAGAAGAGCTATGCAGCAGGCAGAGGGGGCACCTACTACCTGCCGACATGCCAGAAAACCCCTGCCTGGTAGGTTACATCCCCAAGAGAGGCCCCCACCCAAAGCGATGCTGAGGGAGCTTTGCTCTGCACTGCAGGAGGTAGCACCAGTCTGAAGCAAGACGTCGATACCAGAGATAGGCATCAACACCATCCCAAAGACTGCAGGCATCCTCTCCATTTCTGGACACCCCAAGACAGGACAGAGTGGCAACCTGTCATAGGACAACGCTCAGCCTGCAGAAGAAAGGGGGAGGAACAGCCTGGCCTTGTCACCCCTTGTCATTGAGGCCCAGCAAGAGTATGTCCTGCAAACAGCACCACTTCCCTAGCTTCCCATCCATCAAAACACACTCAGAGCTGCCACCTAGAGGAAAGTCGTGCTTGCCAGGGAAGCTGGCACTGCAAGGGCCAAGGCAGGACAAAAGCAGTCAAAGGGAAGAGCAGGGCCACTCCAGGCAGAGCACACCATGCCCCCATGCCAGGACTGGGGCTGCTCTTCTGCACACCACCTAAGCTGTGGACCATCCCCTTCTTCAGGACAGCAAACTGCAAATAAGCACCACCCATGCTGGCTGCAAGGAACTTAGGGGCTACACTGCTATAGCACAGGGCTAAAACCAGAGTCATGGAATCGTTAGGGGAGCCAAATGTAGCAATTCCTGGTTCTCACACTCTTGTGGGCAGAACCAGGGACCTCCTCAAAGAAGCACTGTCTTAGCGCAGCCAAATATGGAAGTCACGCCTACCCTCCAGCTCCTGGAACCACTGTGGCTGTTTCATGCTCATTCTACAACAAACCAGGCTCCCTCTGGGGCAGAACTGAGGCCCAGCCCTTAGCTGCAGAGACAAAAATACACACACACACACACACACACACACACTTCTCAGCACAGCAATGACCCTCTCAAAATGCCCCAGGGATAGCAAAGCAGGCAGGGCAGTAGCAGCATATCCCTTAGCAGCACCATAGCAACAGATCGACCAATCAGCACACACTGCAGCAGAAACAGCTTGCCATACTTCCTGGGCAGAGAGCTGAGCAAGGCGGGTAACAGACAGAAGGGGTTAAGAAGGGTAGCACACAAAGAGAAGGGTGAGCAGGGCTGCCCCAGGGTAATTCCTGGGTGGAGACAGCAGCCAGTATTTCTGTTCCCCCTCCAATCTTCATCGGAGGGCAGCCAGACAGCATTCCAGCTCTCCACCTCCCTCCCCTCTCACCTATGGGATAGGCTGCCCCTTCACTCAGATCCCACCTAAGGCTGCAGCCCACTCAGAGACAGCCAGGACTTGGCAGCTGTTGAAGACATAACCTCACAGCCCACCACAGTAGACCTAACAAAGATGTGCAGGTTCACAGCTAGGCAACCCTCCCCCAGGCTGAGCAGTGAGGAGCCAAAGCCAAATCAGGGTTGATCTGTAGCTCTTAGGCCTCAGGCTAGACAGAGGCCAGAGCTATCAGACCAACTGGACAGCTCTTCCTTTCTGCCATGAGAAACCTAGGACCATGAGGGTGGGATCCACTGCCTAGAGCCTAGCACATGCACCTGCTCTAATGGGGCCTCCACTGCTATGAGCCAAAGCTGCCCTCAGCCCTGTGGACGCTCAAGTGAAGGACAGTGCAGATGAGCACTGGCACAGCACCAGGCTCACAGGCCCCAAAGTGCTAACCCAAGATAACCACGGACATTGGCTGGGTCCATTCCCACTGGACTACACCGGGGGCCGCTGGCACATCCTGACCCACCTCCTTGGCCAGAGCTGAGGACAACAGACAGCCAGAGGGGGTAGAGGGGATAACTGTGTCAAACAAGCACAGGTGTGGTGTCAGGGGCCAGTCAGGATCCAGATAGGAGGGTTGCACAGAGGGGTGAACAAGGTTGTGACTTATCACAGCAACATCTTCCTGGCAACATCTTCCAGGCCACATGACACCCACAGGCCAAACACAGATGGATGGAGCCATGTGGGGCAATTAGCAGTCTCCCATCAGGGGCCAGGGACAGTGGCCACAGGACTGTTCCCATTTAAGCCACAGGATCATGCTTGGTATTGCCTGTGCACACCCTCCTACAGCCCAAATACCCTACTTCTTGGGCCTGGGGAGGGGTCTTCCCTCCTTTCAAGAAAGCTAACAAGGGGCCAGGGATTTAGCTCAGTGTTTCCGCCGCCTGCTTCTCAAGCGCAAGGACCCAAGTTTGATCCCCGGTACCAACAATAGATAAATAAAGAAATAAAAAGCGTGAAAGCACTTGCTAAAAAAGAAAGAAAGAAAGCCAATAAAGACAAGAAATGATAACTATAGGGGGTTTCCTAACAGTACATCTGCCAAACCAGCCCAGACTGGCATGTTCCAGGTCACTGAGATCAGAGGGGGTGGCTTCTGGGCCACTGGGGGCATAGTGCAGGTGTCCAGCTTCTTAGGACTATCAGCAGGCCTAGACAATCACATATTGAGGTGACAGAGTCCTTGGTGCCATCAGACAAAAACACAGCAATGAAGGCAACAAAAAAAACATGCTCCCAGAGAGCTAGGGTCCATGCCACAAGGCCATGCTCCATCCTGTCCTTCCAAGGGGCAGAAAACTGGCACACCTGGCACTGGGTGAAAGACCCCCTCAGCTCAGGCCTGTCCTGACCACTAGTGGCAGCTCCAAGGGGCTAACTCTGGCATACCAGGCACTCAGCAAACATCAGAGCTGACAGCAGACCACCAGTAGCTCATATGTGACCCAGCATATGAATCATCTGAGTCCTTGCAAACCATGTTAGGATCTCAGTCCCAACCCTGAGGCAGGAAATAGAGGGAACCCTAATTCCCTCAGAAGCTCGAGCCCCTCAGCCACAAAGCCAGCACAGCAGATGTCCAAACCCTCAGGTTACAGGAGACTATGAGGATCAGCTCACCTGCCACTGTCTCTGGGGGTCTGTGACAAGTCCTAGAAAACCTTTGTGGAAATGGGGGACAGTCACATGAATGAGAAGGAAGTAGTCTGGAAAAAGAGCACTGGTGTCAGCCTTCTGCCCTGGGCTTTTCACAGGCTGTGAGCACCTGTAGTCACTAATGCTACCTGCTGTCATTGACACTGAGCTCACTCACTCACTCCATCTCTGGATGAGGGCATTTATCTCTGAGGCCATGGCCACTCCAGGCTGGACTCAAAAGACTGAGCAGAGCCACACTGAGGGCTGTGATTTATCACAGCAAAGTCACCAAAGGGACAAGACGAATGGGGCAAAGTTAGGGAGAGGCAGATGTCCTTAACTAGCCAGCTATGAACTGTGACAACACACATGGAATATTTATCAACTCAAAAATTCAAACTCGGCACCCAAGTACTTAAGGGACTATCACAGAAACAATACAGAGGCACCTGCTCTTTGACATGTACCAAGGTTCCAGGGTTCCAGAGGTGAAAGCAGGTGATTTTTGGACAAACATGTTAGGTACAGAGAGCCTTATCAAAAAATGAGTTGAACCCTCCCCAAATCCAAGTTCAAGTTCTCAGATGTCAGCCAAGGACCAGACAGCCAACAGGCCATTGAGTGAGCTTATACACATAACACCGATTCAGGTGATCCTTCAAGTCAGAAGACAGTGGCCAGGCACATGACAATATTGGCTATCCAAAGAGGGTAAAGCAAGCAGGCTGTGATGCCACTGAACTAGCCGAAGGGGTCTGTACATGCCTCATCCAACGCTGCTGTGGGTCAACCACAAGGAGTGGCTTCAGGGGCTGCTCTTACCTTCAACATTGTTGTAGAAATGACAGGAACGACTTGCTACCTTCTTGCGACACAAGTGGATCTGCAAGAAGAAGGGCAGAGTGCACAGCTGAAGTGGTGGCCAAGGACCCATCCATCCCTTAGCCCCCACCAGCTCCTCCTCCACATTCCTACTCTATCCACTTTAGGAGTCAGAGGTCAGCATCTGCTGGAGCACAGCTGGAGATGCTAAAGCCCCAGCAGCACCTGCCCAGCAAAACCATAGGAGTGGGTTGGGTTCCTAGGAGCCCACCTGCATGTGGTTACTCTCCTGCTTCTTCACCTCTGGGTGAATACACAGCTGCTCCCGGGAGCCCAGCACACACACTCTGGGCCTGGCAGAAGAGAAAACCAAGTGTCAAGGAGGAACTGCCTCCAAGTAAAATAGATGGGCCATGGTGTGGTCCAGCATCATGAACCATGCTCAAACACACAGGAACACATGGGAAACTTGACAGGCAGAGGGATCAGAGTGGCTGAACTGTGACCCTGGCTTGGGACAGGAGCAGGAGGCAAGGCAGAAAAACTGGGGACAGCAACCTACTTCCAAGCTCCCTCACACAGAAGCCTGGGCAAGATTTCAAGACTCAGCTGAATTCTACTAAGGAGCAGACCCTCCTCCCTTCACATGCAAAGATGCCCCCAAGGACCAGTCTTGATTGCCAATATAACAGCCCTGCAAGGAGCCTGGGGTGCCAGCTTACAGACAACTGTAAGTTCAAAGCTGCTTTCTCACAAGTAATAGCCATCAGAACCAGCCCGGCCTTTACCCACTGCGTATCAAACACTATATATCCTGGGATGGGTCTAGGAAGAACATCATCATTTATCACCATGCAGCAACACTGCATACATGCAGCTGGGCTGAGGACCCAGACCCAGCTACATGCAATTAACAATTTTCTTAACATTTTAAGAAAATTAACATTTTCTTAACAATGGAAGCAGGTGTGAACCTGCTGACCCACCGGTAGGCAGTATTCCGAAGCTCGCCGATGACCTGTGTGAGCTGTGAGTGGGTCCTGGAGGCATAGATGATCTTTGGGATATCTGTGTAGCAAGCTGCCCAGACACAAAGAAGCACAAAATGGATGGCTCTACAGCAATGTCTTTGTGTGTAACACAGGCAGCACTGTGCTAACTCAGCCCTCAGACAGCACAAAACTGACACCCAGGTAGCCACTTTTGGAAGTAGGTCAAGGGGGTGCCCATGGTGCTCTAGTTCCAAGAAAAAGCACTGAAGTTGTGTTTATACTCACAGCATAAACTGTATCGCAAGAAGCGATGCAGAGGCTATAAAATTCTCCTTATTCTACTCTGCTCTAAAGATGGGAAAAACCAAAGTGAACGGCCTTGTCCCCAGCTCCATCCATCCCCTACAATCGCCATACAAGGCCAGGAGAGGCTGAGAAGTAGGGTTACCTATGGGTTCTCCATCAGCAGCAGTGGCATTCCCCCAGGATGACAATGACTGATCAAGGAAAAGCTCTCCATGTACTCTCTCAGCAATCTTACGGGCAGAGACAGTGTCCCGGAGATGTTCCCGCCAGGCTAGTGTGGTGCAGAGGAGGCAGAGCGTCTTCCCTGTGCCTGTGGGGCTCTCTAGGATGCCATTCACTTTCTGGATGAGGTTCACAAAAGGAGTTACACGGAACCAGGAGAGACATGAGACCACATTCCTTGAGACAAATCCACCAACCAGTGGAACAAATCTTCAGATGCATAATCTACCATCAGGTGCAAAAGCCCCATGGGAAGTGGATTAAACCAAATGACATTTCCCACTGTAGCCCTAAAAGCCACCGGTTAATTCAGCCCTCATTAGCAAACAGTTTGCAAAGGAGTACCAAAAAAGAGACTATTTTTCAGCCTAATATAAATAGTAAGGTGACTAATTAGGTGCCAAGTCTCAAAATAGGAAATTGTTCTGCAATTCTGGATCCAGGCATTTACCCTGTCCTAACTAAACAGAATCTGATGTCCTATATATGAGCACTCAGACAGAAACCTGAGCAGGAAACTTGGTGGAGTGAACAGGGTACAAGAAGCACCTCAAGAAACCCAATAGAAAGCCACCGTTCCATTTCCCTATGCACCCCTGAAGTTCAGAGACATTCCAAAAGTGAGAGATGTTTCTATGATGCCCCTCGACACAGAAACACTTCCTCCAGAACCCCAAATAAGGCCACGCCCCATCCATCAACCTTGGCTTAAAGCCATCTCCTCAGAGTGGCACCCAAGGCACTCCTAACCCCTTACCATCTAAAATGAATTTTTTTTTAATCACTCGATGTTGGCTCTCCCACCTAGACCAATTTATGACAAAATTCCGGGCCTGGCTGGAATGGATATGGAATAAAAGTGCATTCAGTTTTCACAAAAGCTCTACTTCAGGGCTGAGGATTTAGCTCAGTGGTTCCGGCGCCTGCTTCCTAAGCCCACGAACCTAAATTCAATCCCCTGTACCCCCGCCCCCCCAAAAAGCTCTACTTCAGCCAACCCATCACTAGAACAAACTCTTTAGGGTCTCCAGCTTTACCTTCTGCAAACATTCTAGGACCTTACTCATGTACTCCTGTTGGCATTGATAAGGCTGGAAAGGGAAATCCACCGTGACACCATTCAGAACTATCTTGGGCATATCAGCCTGTTCTCAGGGACCACAGTGGTTGGCTGAAGTGTAGGCTGTTTATGTTGGTGAGACAAATCCCTTCTGGTGTTCTCGCTGACCATCTCAGGGTCTCAGCCACTCAGTGCTATTCTCTGCAAGAATCTCCACAGCTCACACAGACCACTTCATTTGTCTTTTTAGGAAGTCTCTCCTGTGGAGAAAGTCAGAAGGCAAGCATGTTATATCCTATTACATTCAGAGGGCGTGAAGATGCCAAGTGAGCGAACCTTCCTAGTTCTGACCCCACAAAACCCCATACTACTCTGATAAGGCTGGCCGGGCTCACACAGAAAAACCAGGAGCCCAAGGGGCACAGTCTATATGCTCTAATCAAAATTCAAATAATGCAAAGCCGTGCAGCCGAAGGCAATCTCTCCACGCCTCTGTCAGGTCTAGAAGCTGAGACTGACAGATGAACGGTCTATGTGCCCGCAGAGCCGAAACCGGACGCGGGGCCTGCAGCGAACCGGAGCTCCAAGCTGTGCCACCTCACCGCGAACTACCCGAGCAAAAAAAGCTGTAGCACTTCCGCAACTCACAGTTCACTTGTCTCCGCGCGGAGCTTTTGCAGAATCCGGCTTGTGAATCTGGTCTTCTGCAGAACCCAACGGACTCTGCGAGGCCCCGCGCCCTCCACTGTCAGCAGGTTCAAACTTCGCGGGATGAAGCGCGGAGTAGATGTTGTAAGCGCTGCGCTTCCGCCCTTACTTCCGGTCCGCAACTCGGCCCTCCGGGAGGAAACCATTCCCCAGCCTCTGAGCCCGTCTGTTCTCTGGAATCCCACGGTCCTGGGGGCCGTTGTGCAAGCTGTGCCTGACCCTGTCGCTGACTCTTCCGTGAACATCAGCTGCATCTTCTAGAGTCTAGCCCATCTCCTCCTCGACATGGTCCCTGCCATGGTCTCCTTTCCTCTTTCACCTCCCTCGTCCAAGCCATCTCCATTGCCACACAACTGCGCAGGCTCCTTGCTTTCCTGCTGTGCCCGTCCTCTCCTCTCAGAGGCATCTTTTTACGCAGAGTCTGAGCCGCTCTCTTTCCGTTAAATCCACAAATGGCCGCCGCTTGACCAGGGCCCGCTCCTGAGGGCTCTCACCACCTCCTCTCCTTACTGTCCCCAAACGTTCAGCCTCTTTTCCATCAGTGTACCTCAGTGCCCAGGGAGGGCCTCTCTGAATCCTTGGCACCCAAGACTAGCCGACAGTCAACAGGGGGACCCAGGAGAGAGAAGCCACACAGTCCTTAGGGTTAGCCTAATGGTCAGAAATATTTGTGCCAAGCGACTCCAGCATAGACCAAAAGGCACCAGGGAGAAGTTAACATCACAGTCTACAGCCAGCAAATGATGCTTGTTTCAGAGCCTCTTCTAGACTCCATATAATACCTAGATGTTTTTCGGCTGCTAGCTCATGTGTGTGCTGATGTCTTCCCATGTTCGTGTGCGTGTGGTCAGTCTTGGGCAATCCCTGACACACCATATCGCCACCCATGCACCTGCTGCAGCCTGTCTCAGGCACTCTCAATTCTTGGTCGGGAGATGGAGATGAGGTAGGCCACATGCACTTGGGTGGGCACCAAGCACAGGTTTCAGTAGCATCCACATGTGCATTGACACATCTATCTTGCCTGATTTCTGAGATCAAATCTTTCATTACCCACCATCCTTTATATGTTACAGAGTAGTTAGTGGATTGCTCAAAGCCTGAAAAAGAACCAGGATCGGGCCAGGGATTTAGCTCAGTGGTTCCGCAGCCTGCCTTGCAAGCCCAAGGAACTGAGTTCGATCCCCGGTACCAAAAAACAAAACAAACAAATAAACAAAAAAACAGGATCCCTTTTCATCAACCATCTCCTGAATGGAGGGGTGTTCATCACCCAGAAGACTACAGAAGAACAGTGAAAGTTCCAAAGACTTAACAACTTGCTGGATCAGGATAGCAAGCATTCTGAGAACCTGAACTGACTGGAGAGCTGCCTGTGTCACAGCAAGGTGGTTCTGGCCACCATCTGGCCCCATCACAGATGGGACTCTAAGGGAACCTGCACAGTCTCTTGTGAACTATAACACATAAAAGCCATTATGCTGAAGGACTATTCCCATAATTCCCTGGAAAGATCTACTATACCTATCATGAAACCAACCTCATGTTCTCAAGAAGAACTTGGGCAGAAAAAAACTGAATCAATCTATTCCTTAAACACTATGGTTTTACAGAAATGGGTAGAAAGAAGTTTGGGATTGGACTAGTTTTTCATGGTTCTATCTCTGCATCATTAACATAATTAGCCAAATTTTGTGACAGATCACAGATTATCCAATGACTTTAGTGAACAGACTCCCATAACCATCCAAAATAAATATCCCCAAATCTGCAGATTAAAAGCTTTTATAATTTATTAAAATGAAAGGGCCAGGAATTTAGCTCAGTGGTTCCATCACCTGCCTCACAAGCACAAGGTTCCGAGTTTGATCCCCAGTACAAAAAAAAACAAAGAAAATGAAAACATTCAAGTAAAAAAAAAAAAAAGCCATTCTGTCAAGCCTAACTTGCAAAATAAGGGGATAGGGAAAGCAAACTGTACCTCATCAAGCCACACTTCACAGGCACACCTATCTCAACCAAGTAAACAAACTTGAATTAAGCATCTGCTCTGGTAGGCTTTAAGGGACTCCCGCTTTGGACAAAATACCACCTAGACCATAGGACAGATGTGACCCATCACACAACATGTGACACAAACTGATGAATACAAGGAAGGGTTTGCCTTGACTACAAGCCAGGGAAGGCTTCCCTGAAATTTGTGTGGGAAAAGTCACACTGCACATCCTAGGAGAGTCTAAGAGGTAACTGGAAAGTGACAGGTTCTTCAGAGTGTGAGGAGTTCAAAGAGGGTGATGAAGCTGGAAACAGGAGTGGAGGTAAGTCTAAGGCCCCTGCTCCAACCAAGGATGGAATAATCTCTGCCTTGCAGGCGTCTGGGAGGTCAGGAAGGATGCAGAGGAAGGTTTGTTCAGAGCTGGGTGAAAGCAAGTCTGCATCTGGCTCTAAGAGCCTCCTCAGTGTCTACTGATCCTGGGGTGTTCATCATCGTATGGGACTTCCAGGGCTCCTTTACCCCTGCCCTGTCCTCTTACTGCTAAATGACTGCCAGCTCCAACATACAGTAGGCATTTGACAGACATTTGTTGCATGACTGAGTGTCCTGGTGAGGGTGCTAGTGATATGTAGGGCTCCTGCTATAAAAGCTTAGGGTTAGTTTTGGGAGATCTCTATAGGGATCTTATGTATAATCTCACAGTTCACAAATAAGCATCTTTTGAAGTGGTTGTTTATGAATTTCCTGCCGTTGACCTAGGTGTAACAAGTCAAAATCTGCTCAAGGCCCAGCAACATTTTTGGGTAAACATTCAGTACAGCTACGATGTGCACTATCTGTGTGCACCTACTGGGTACTGGTAATATGCCAGGGGCTTCCTAAACAACTGGTGTCCATGGCCCAGACAAGGACATGCAATGAGGAGGGTGGGCATGATTTAAATACACACACTGAAACTCAGCATTCTGTCAAGTTATAGGTACTAATAACAAGTGGCAGGGCACTTCGCAAGGTGAATCTGAACCACTACTATCCTTTGAGCCTGCCTGGGCAAGAGAAGACTGGAAGGTCTGGAGGGATTAGAAGGGCTACTCCTTGATCCTAGCACCTGAGTTCCAGCACCTAAAGCAGAGTCCTTCTGAGGAACACTAACATTAACCAGCTCCAGCTTCAGTGGAAATTCAGGAGATACAGTTGCTTCTGTTAGGATCAATATCACTGTTAGAAACAGCTCTGTGTGCCTTTCTCCACTTCCAACTCCCTCCCAGGACTGAGTTCCAATGAATGTTGCACACAAGAGTAGCTGTATGTGTGTGCACGCAGAGTAGGTTGATATCCCTACATAACATATTACAAGCTCGGCTGCTCAATACAACCCTCAAGTATTAGTCTACAGTTCTTAGTATCCCAAGGGTGAAATAAGGTTGTCCACTGGGCTGAGTTCTCTCTGGAGGTTCTGAAGGCAAATCTGCTTCCAAGCTCATTCATGTCAGAAATATTTGTGCCGTGTGTGTGTGTGTGTGTGTGTGTGTGTGTGTGTGTGCAAGCACGCGCACATGTGCACAAGCTGCTGAATGAACCCAGGTCTTTGAACTGAAATACATTCTCAGCTCTTTTTATTTGTTATTTGTGCCGTGTGTGTGTGTGTGTGTGTGTGTGTGTGTGTGTGTGCAAGCACGCGCACATGTGCACAAGCTGCTGAATGAACCCAGGTCTTTGAACTGAAATACATTCTCAGCTCTTTTTTTTTTTTGTTTTATTTTGAGACAGGATCTCACTTAAGTCACGAAGTTGCCCAAGCTGGATTCAAATTTGCAATCCTCCTGTCTCACCCTCCCAGAGTGCTGGAATTACAGGATTCACTTCTTTTGTGGTTGTAGTGCTGAAGTCTTGCTGCCTGTCAGCTGAGAGCAGCTCTTATACCCTTGCCAACTGGCCTCTCATTTCAGTGACAAAGAGCCTTCCTTTCTTTTAAATTCTCAAATTTCTTCAACTAGTCAGACAGAACTCTGCTTTTAAAGGGTTCCTATGATTAGGTCAAGCAGATGGGATGATCATCCTAAGGTCTTCTGTATTACATAATGTACCTCATCCTGAGAGTTTGAGGCCTGATGCCAGCATGTACACTGGCGGCAGGACTCTTAGAGCAGGTTATGTGTGACCATGAGCTGCTGCTATCCTGCAGGGCTTGTTCCAAGCTAACCTCAGTCCTTAGGTTGTCCCTGACTTTTGCCTTTCAAAGCTGGCCTCCTCTTCCTGCAAGTCTTCTAAGGATTCCAAGAATTTGATTTCTGTACCTATGACTTAATTGCCTGTGGAACAAGCCCTTCTCTTCTTGGCTTCAGTGGCTCCAGCCCTAAAACTGGCACCATCCACCTGCCAGTCTCTCTTTAGGGGAGGTATGGCAGGTACCCTCCAGTAAGTGCATGGGTTCAGCTCTGGCACATTTTCCTCCATCCTCTGGGGAGGGGCCCAGAGAAGCCAGAAATTTGCTCTCAGTCAAAAACCCAGATGCCACAGCTGGGCTGGAGAACTGCCTGAACCTCACTTCAGAGCCCTTGTTCTCGGCCTCACCACTCCCACTGCCTTCTTTGCCCACAACTTGCCTATCCGATGGCACAGAGGCAAAGGCCTTCCATGCCAGTGCCTGCCCCTCTTCTCCACACAGCCCTGGGCTCAGAGGCAGTCTCCAGCTGCTGCACCATCCCCCATCCTGCGCCGCTGCCTGCCCTTGGCCCTGCTGGCCCGGAACCCCTTCCCACTCCCGCTGGAGCCCTCTGCACCCCCAGCTACCTCTGTCAAGAGCTGTGACCCTGCCCTGGCCTGGGGCCTGACCTCCCGCCTTGCCCCTATCATGCCCATTTCGGGGAAGGGGAGCTCCCCTCTGCACCCTTGAGCCCACAGGAAGCCACGAAGACGGAGCAGCGGTCCGTGGTGGCTGGAGGATGAGCTCTGTAACCACCCTAGACTCCCCC